TGCGTTTTTTTCACTTTTTTTAAAATAATATGAGGTCAATTTCAAAAAATTCGGTGTATGTCAAATTAATGTCTTCACACAAATATTGTATATTTTCGTCCTATGGAAACTCCCTGAAATCAAGTATTCTACTTCTTATCGATGCACAGCTTTGTGAAGACTACCACACCATCATGTAAACCACAACTTTCAGTATGTATTCGTTCTGTTCGTCTGCAAAATAAAGGCCTGCAGTAAAGTCCAACAGCCGCCAACAGAACTCGAAAGTCTACCGTTCGTGATGTTGATGTCATGATTGTGACAACACTCACAAGTCCTTGAATATAAGCACCGATCAAGCACACCTTCCACATGACCACATTCCACATGACGCTGCCGTGGCAGCTGAAGGGGAGGGGAGAAGAAACCAACGCTTTCTAAGACTACGCTGCAATTCATGTTGGAGTTGACAGCTTGGATTCAAGTGCACTTGCAAAACAAAAATCGGGATTGCTTCCGAGGGCAGCTTTTGGTCTGGTGAAGTGCGTTACAACTAGCGTACTTTTCACGTCAAAAAGCCACAACTCGCCTCCTTTGCCGGCTACCGTTTCTATGGGCCTTCGCTGTCGCTTCTTCTTTATCACACTCATTCCCTTGAAGAAGAGAAACATGAAGCTCACATTTGAAAGTTTTCCAGTGACCTTGTAAACTCGTCCGTGTAGAACGTTGAGTCCTTGGTAATGGAGCGAGCTGCTTGATCCAGGACATTAAGCGGAAGAAACACGGAACTGATCAGCGAGCACTGTAGAAAATATCCGGGTATGATGAGTTATCAAACAGTTCATAAACAGAAACTCTACCTTATCTTCGACCGTAGTCTTTCGCGACGAATCCTTCTCAATAACGCCAACGAGGCCGTCAATGAAGTCCGTAAGAGCAACGACTCTTTGAATCGAAAGCATGCTAGGATTGTGTTCGTTTTTCACTGGAGTGGTATTTCGAGGCTTAACAAAAAGAAAAATACAGACTAATGGAATCATGCTCAATAGATAATTCACATTTCTGTCACTGTATAAAATTCAACTAACTGTGCTAATGAAGACAACTGTATTAAGCAAAAAAAAACGGTGTCGTAGATGTGTAAGTTAAAGTTTCAGTTTACTCGTCTGCGAAAGGCAGAAATAAAGGTAAAGATAAAGGTTAGGAATAACGCGACACGACTTAGAAACAAACAAGATATTGTACCTAAAAGTTACAAAGAATAGAGTCGAAGTCACTTAGATTAGTAGAGTCAAAATCAAAAAATTTCAGGGATTACCACACCTCAGTCAGTCTCATTAAAGCTACGAGTCAGGATTAGGCAACCAGCAGAAGTTCTTCCCAGGGTGCGATAGTGGGCTCCCCAAGCACTGAGGGCGCGACACTATCGCGACTCAAAAGTGCGCGGCAATGGCGCTAAGGCCTTGCTGCTGCCGCGCTGCCAGCGTAATCCACCACGGCATACGTGGTCTCTGCGTCCTCTCGCGTACGACGTACTATCTCGCGTTCTCCCTCTCCTCGCAGCGCTGTGTCTCTCCGTCGTACTACGGCCGGCCTCCTAAGGG